ATATATATAGAGAGAGTTTTTTTTTTTTTTTACGGATTTCTATTTTTGTTCAAAGTTGAACAGAAATTTGTGCAATATTTGCAATATCTGGCTTACCCTATCGAGCTGTGTGAGAGTGACACAATAGTAGAAACAGCTCTCAGTATGTTGCAGTTCAACACAACATAAAGCATGTTGTTAAATAATTTCTAAAGGCAGACTTCATTCTATACAGTTCAGGTGAAGCAATGAAGTGGCCAGTGAGTGAATGTTGCATGTTGTTCATTTCTTATATCCCAAGCTGATGTGACAATGAACACACAACGGTGTTACATAAGAGGCACTGAACTGCACAAAATGTGAACCATCACTAATACTCTTACGCTGTCCGCCTCCTCTTCTTCTTTGCTTATATTGTTCCTTACAAAGTTACTCTTGCGTGTTTCTTTTTGACCTCTCTCCACTTAGATTTGTCTTTCTTTGACTTTATCTTAATGCCTTACCTGAGGTCCTACTCACCATCCCGAAGTTCCCCTTTGCTTGGGAATGTCATATTGTGAACTGAACCCCAGCAAGTGCATTGTTCTGAATTACAACAGCGCCCCCTGTTGACGTAGATTTGAACTGGCCACACTCACTTGCTGCATGAACTTTTTCCACAAATTTGCCTTTACATTAATAATGACAATAAATACAACACTAAAAATAAGTTTTTCTCATCTCTTTTGCAGCCATTCATGTCGCCGCGGTACCCAGGTGGTCCGAGACCCACGCTCCGCATGCCAAACCAGCCACCAGGGAGCATCCCTGGATCACAACCTCTCCTGCCAAACAGCCTGGACCCCACCAGACCTCAAGGTAGCAACTTCAACAATGACGTGGCATCTTTCTGCTAAAATGAAACGATTTTACATATATTTGGTCATATCATGAAAATACTTCATCTCTCTGCACAGGACATCCAAACATGGGCGGTCCAATGAGAATGAATCCCCCTCGAGGAATGGGCGGCATGGGTCCACAGGTACAAAATATTGAACTACAGGAACCGCGGTAAACCAAATTTGTTTTCCATAATCACTAACTTAGTAGTAGTAAAGTTATAGTTGTAGTAAATATAGTTATAATAAAATAACTATGACATGATTTCGTTGTAGAGGAGTTTCACTGTAGTAAATATAGTTATAATAAAATAACTATCATATGTTCAAATGATAAACACTAACTGCAGCAGGAACTGAGCTTGCTTTCTTGTGCTGTGTGACCGCATACAGCATTCTTACGCTGCTACGCAAACTACTTCAATGCACGCCATTCAAAATCTTGAACCCTCATAGGTCAGATCTGTCCTAAATTGAGAACCGCTAATATCTAACTTAACTATCTCTTCTACTGTGAATTTGCAAATTTCTCCATTGTGAGCCGAATAAAGGTTTTCTTATCTTATCTTTCTTATCTTACTGTAATGCCAAGTAATTTTGACATATATGCAGTGTGGACCTAGTAATTGTGCTTTCACCAGCTGCTAGTTTTCCTCTTTAACAGCAAGCAGTTGTGACAATTATGTGAGTATAATGTAAAAAAAAAAAAAATGCGGATGTTGTACAGAGCCTTGTGGAACACCTCATAGCGACAATGTAACCTGAATTTGCACGGAGTTCGTAACGCGCCGCAGTCTATCAATATCATTCACACAACACAATAGTAAAATCATAATTACAGTCCAATATTTGTATAAAAAATGCTTCCAGACCATAAATATAGAACAATCAAATTCAAAACAGTAATTGTGCTTTCTTGTGGTACCTGACCTTGTTTTCTTACGTTGTTAGGGCAGCTAGTTCACTGCACACTGCTCCTAACCACGAACCATGGTCCTAGTATAGAGCCACCAATGTCTAGCTACAAGCGCTACTTGGTTTATGACACAGAATTCCTTCCCGACGGCAGCTCATACTTTTGTAAAACGAGGACCCCCTGTATCTGTATCAAAAAGGTAGAGTGCTTCGAAACAACACTGTAAGCTTGTCTTGACTCTTGGCTGTATCGCTGATGCTTCCAATTTGCATCGCGAAAGCAAATTCACTCACCGCGTTCCGTTGCCAACTTGACAACTTTTTAATGCGAGCTTGGCTCCTCGCTGGAATCTGCCCACTCTCCACGTTCCCCCGGCCGACTCCCACCTTGGGAAGAATATCGCATGCTTGCCAACACATTCACCAAAAGTTGTGCCAATGTGACACACTTTCCATTTTATACTCTTGGCTGTTGCTGTTTTGTCCTGTGTCCTTTTAAATGACAATGACTGGACAGCTGCTTGATTGTGCAGCAGCCTCACAACACACACACACACACACACACACATAAAGACACACACACACACGCACACACAGAGGCACTCGGTGACCCCCCTCCTGCCTGCACTGGGGGTCCCATTTACTACGATGCCACCCTTGGCACAGAGCACACCGGCAGCTGGTGTGGCATCTGCTCGACAAGTGTATTCGTCTGCTGAACAAAACTCCTCCTCGGAGTGGAGCCTCAGTCGCAGCGCAGGCATATATATATACTGTACAGATGCAAAATTTAAACAAAATAGTATACATATAAGGTCTCCGTTTGTTGTTTTCAATTTGTATTTGTGATCACTTTTATGGGATGATGTTTTCCTGATTCAAAAGCACATGACACATTTTTTTTTTTGGGGGGGTGATTGGGCTATGTTTTTGAAATCCATGAAAATGTACATTGTTAGTCTAAAAGCACAAGTCATTTTGAGCTTGCTGTTTGAGAAAAAGAAATCATTTTTCTTAGCGGTGTAAATCATGAGCCATCTAGTTTATGACAATCTGCAAAGGTCAGATCGAGGCAACTGGATTCTTGTTGTTTTTATGAAAATGTTCACTTGTGACAGATACAACTATGCCAGGAGGATAAGGATATTTAACTCCAGAAGTGTTGGTTGCTGAGCCTGACGAAGCGTTTGCGTGTCTTTTTCTGTTTTTTTTACAGAATTACGGTGGGGGGATGAGGCCTCCTCCAAACTCCATGGGGCCTGGAATGCCGGGCATGAACATGTTAGTAGCCTGTTCAAAGCACTTTCAAAACAATACCCCACCACATTTTCATGAATTCTAAAAACATTTATCTTAAGTTCTGACAAAATTTCCTAACTAGACAAATTACTTGTATTTAATATGCAGTGCATGGAACAACACGTCACAACACTGCTGGACACAAAGTGCTTTGTTTATATTAATTTTGCACTTTACGCTCATCTGGAAACAACAGCATTTAGTTATACTTGAATTATTTGTTCCAATTTTTATCATTGTGAGGCGACATTCATATTCACACAATACTACAATGTAGAATGTGAGAAAGGCTGAACCACCACAGTGGGCAAAAATAATACCGGCTTTAAAATACATAAACATAGTGGGATAAATATATGGTTGTGACCTCAATGATTGGAGGATAAATCCAAAAAGCCAACTAGATAAAAATCCCCCAGTCATTGAGTGTGTGACTCAAAACGTAGCATTAGTATGTTTGTATCGCGCCATTGTCTCCTTGTGTCCAGTGTGTGTTATCATAGACAGCATGTATTTTTCCCATCAGGGGTCCTGGCGGCAGAGGTCCATGGCCGAACCCCAACAATAACTCAGTGAGTGACACTCCCCCACTCACGTCTTTATTCGCGCTGACATCTTAGCGTGTTTGACATGGCAGCGTGTCGTCTCTCCACAGATAGCTTATTCGTCTTCATCTCCGGGCAACTACGTGGTGAGTGTCCCGCTGACGGCTTCTTCTGTGTGTGTGTGTGTGTGTGTGTGTGTGTGTGTGTGTGTGTGAGAGAGAGAGAGAGAGAGAGAGAGAGAGAGAGAGAGAGAGAGAGAGAGAGAGAGAGAGAGAGAGACCATGAAGTGATCCGCCACTTCTGCTGTGATGTGTAAGCGGAGGCGTGCTGACACTGCCAAGCGTTTACTTTACTCTCCTCTTGTTTCGCTCTTCAGGGCCCCCCGGGGGGAGGAGGTCCACCAGGAACTCCCATCATGCCGAGTCCAGGAGGTGATGCATAGACTTTTCCCCTTTCTATGCGCAACTTTTTGTTTCAGTGCAGGAATACTTATAGTACAGGTACTGAGAACTAGAGTGGGCTAACTCACGATATACTGGATACACGGTCCATACAAACCCCCCAACTCTCTTCTGTGAATATAAATAGCACTGTTTGTATATAAAATTGTTGTAAGTACACCTCTGCAAAACATTGTCTCATTAATATTGAAGAAAACAAACCAAAAAAAAAGAAATATAGATCAACAACAAGCAGTCGGAATGGAGTAGGCCCGAGTATGCCGTGCTTGACATTGCGGACACAGAAATATACTCGCTGAGGTCCGTGCATGACATTGCCAGGTAAACTGCAAGATCTCCCCTTGCGGTTGATGTGGTCGGCTGTGCATGTGAAGTGGGCAATTGGAGAGCACGATGCACGTGCACAACCGTGCGTCCGTGTATGACAAATAATAGTGATGGGGTGATATAAAAATGTTTTAGAGATAATGATGATAATTTGTTCAATTAATTAATTTCCGCAATCATTCAGAGGGATTCTCGTACAGTGGTGGCATATTTTGGAATGAAATCCAGTGACATCCATCACACGTCCATGGAGCGCCGAATTTATCTGCCGGTGCCTCGATCAATGAAACCAAAATTGCATTACACCATCTGTGCTGCACGATAAACCTCCTTTTAGCCAGTTTAAAATCTAGTCTACTTTTTTGTCACCAAATTATAAGATGCCCCGGGGGGTCTGAAAAAGTAACGCTGAGTGAGGCGTAACGGGTCTACCAAATTCACACACCGACTGAACTAGACCATCTCCCCGACACGAAAATGACGATGCGCCTGTTGTTACGCCAAACATACACTTCTCTCTTCACCAAATAATCAGGTGCTCCAGGGTCGAGGCTGCTTCATGTGCCGGAACCCCCAGAAAGGCCCACGCACACGAGACTGGATTTCCGCTGGCACGAAAATGAAGTTGCGCCCGTTTTTACGCCGAGCTCACGGGCTCCAGTCTACCAAAATAGGGCCCATTGTATTTTTTTTATTACTAGCCTCTATTGTGCTGCGTTGCCCAGGAAACCTTCTATACAAAACGTTCCTGACTCATATACTCAACGAGGGAAGACATATTTTCCATTGCCAGTCGCCAAGACTACACATCAGACACACATTTCAATCTCCTACAAAATTGTACACCTCCCACTCACTATTGGCCCTCAGTCCCAACAACAATGGCCAGATTCAGGCACTTTGTACATGCCACATCCAAACATCTGCCGTCTCTCCCAAGCCTTTTATGCACAACTCTCAGATCAAGGTCACCTTATCCTCGCGAGTGGCGACAAGGAATACTGTTGCTAAGGTGCCAGGCGGTTAACAGAAGAACTTGGGATATGCTGAGGGGGGAAAAAAAAATCATGTTACGCAAATTGTAACAATGTTATGAGATATTAGTTGTGGTATGATCAATGAAAAGGTTTGTAGTTTTCAGTTTTCAGGAAAGTAGTCATATGAAATAAAAGGTAATCGATTTAAAAGAAAATAGCTATGATATTGAAAGTATAAAGTTATTGTACAATAAAATGAGGCAAAATATGAGACAAAAACAATAAAGAAAAAAAGGCTAAATTAATTACGAGGATGTAAAACAAGTTCCACTGATATTACAAGGATACATTTGTGATAATCGCCACTGAGGTCTACAGTGGGCCAACTCCGTTTTGGTCATTTTGCAGGGGTGAAATTCAAAATTTTATGATTGCAATCAAATTTGGGGGATTTATATCTTCGCGATTTCTACGACAATTATTTCTTCTCCTGGACACTGAAGACTTTTGGCATTTTGCCAAATATAATGATTTTGGACTTGGATCATATTGGTGAAAAATATCGAATCCTCGTTGCCTGATTTGAAAAGAAATCAAATGTGGGTGGAGGGGAGGTTGTGAAATAAGTCCACATAGCCATCAAATATCAAAACTTAATGAAAGATGATAAATAATCGTCACTCATAATAACAGCTAGAAGCTCTGGCATTCACGCTAAAGCACTACTTCATTTCTGAGTCTTGTTCATTTCCATCTTGAAAAAGAGAGTTGGCCCAGTTTTACACGAATTTATTTGAAAATGTATCACCATTTTACTTAAAAATGCCCAAAACTTGATTTTATGAAGAAAGTCATTGTGTTATGAGAAAATATTCATGTTTTTATGAGAAAAAAAAGTAATGTTACATAAATAGATAGTAAATAGATTTATATTTTTCCTCTTTATGTTCTTGTAGCATTGTTATTTTAATCAAGTTAATAAATGTAATTATTCAATGTAGAATTTCAACTTTATTCTTGTTGTATTTTTTTTAACTGAATATATAAATGTGCATGACACATTTACAAACATGCTCCTGCTTTTTCCTTGTAGATTCAACAAACTCGAGTGAAAACATCTACACAATGATGAACCCCATCGGCCCAGGTGGAAACAGACCTAATGTGAGTAGTAAGAGGGGAAAAAAAAATCTCGATGAAAATGAATACTTGTCTTGTTAGTGACTCTTCTGGTCTTTCTTTGCAGTTCCCAATGGGACCAGGGCCAGACGGGCCCATGGGTGGCATGGGCGCCATGGAACAGCACCATATGAACGGCTCGCTAGGTGAGCAATGAAGATGTATTCTTTATTGGGAGTCAGACTGCGCCTTCTGGAGGCCGGCTGAGGAAGTACCTCCTTCTTCTCTTCTGCTGTAATTAAAATGAAATGAGATGAGTTGATGGTGCCTATACCGTAGGTGCTCTTGTGTGGCTAATACTCACAGCTTCCCTCAAGTTTATAAGGGTGCTCAGGACGGGTTTGTCAATTAGTAAGTAGACCGCTCCTAAGCTTTCTTTTTTGCTGTGTGCTCACAGGCTCCGGTGACATGGACGGGTTGCCAAAGGTGAGGTGGAATACAGTTTTTGTTGTGTGTCTTAGGGGTTGCACGACTTCAGTTTTATTTATTTATTTATTTATTTATGTTTTGTTCAAGTCGGCACTAATGTGATGATAGTTGAGTCGACTAGCCGCTGATTACATAATTACTACATATAGTATTTACTGACATTGGACAGCTCATAAACGGAATTTAGTGGATTCCAGTTACTGGTACAGATCAACGCCAAGTAGCACAGATATATATTAATAAAAAAAGGATACAAGCTGTTATGTACCGTGATGTGATTTAAAAAATACTAACAACAACAACCCTGCTCCCTGCTGAGTAGTACACTTTGAACCGATCTTTAAGGAGCTCACTTATGAGTCTAAATTCCCCCAAATCTTGCCACGCCCTCTCCTCCCTCTCCTCATGATAAATCAAGTCATGGCTTTCCGTCGAAAAGGTGACAAATGCATATTGCTGAGCTACCTTACTTCTGAACCGGTGCCTAAAGGCACCGGTCTACTTGCTGTTCAGTCACTTAGCTACCAGCCCCAAATATGGGCAAGCTTGCTTGCGTCGTCCGGGACGCTTTGCAAAACTAAGTGCGGTGTTCTTTCATTTCCCCAACTCCCTCTCCACTTTGATATTGTGGAGCCAAAATTAATCAAAACCTTCAGTCGTAGAAGTCCATTTCAATCATCTGTTGCTGCCAGCAAACATGTTGTTAGCGACTAGTCGACGTCGTGGAGTCGCAAAGTCAGCATTGACCCGTCTGTACAACTCCTTGTGTGTGTTGAATAATCAGCATGTCAATCTACTTACTGACTGTGTTGTGCGGTTGTGTGTGGTAGAATTCTCCCAACAACATGGCAGGCATGAACAATCCCCCTGGCACTCCGCGGGATGACGGCGAGATGGCAGGCAACTTTTTAAACCCATTCCAAAGTGAAAGTGTGAGTAGCGCCACGTATTCAACTACCTCCACCAAGGCCACACCATTTGCTTTGAAACTTAAAATTGAATGGGTTTGGTTCAAGTTGATTCAGTCAATTTTGCTGAGTCTGCCTTAAAAAAAAGTTTTAAATTTAAATTGAATACATACGTAATTCAAGATCTGGATTAAGGTTTACCGCTATTTAGTTAGAGATGTGCTCATAAGTTTACTGGGTAAATTTGGAAAATATTGGCAATTTGGTGGGGGGAAATATGACTGAACGGAGACCATCTCATCTGGATGGCTTTTTTTTCTCTTTTTCTTTAAATACCATTGATTACACGGTAAATGTACTATCAATTAGACATATATTTGAAAGAAAATAGCATTTTAAAAATGGTATTGTTCGTAATTCATTATCATTCTAAAAGTCGTTTTAGTTAAAAGTACATTCCAATTTTATGTTTATGTTAACGGTTTTTATGACGTGCATTTTTCCATATTGGAATAATCTATGACGGAAACTATGAAATGCTAGAGACCAGTTTTAGCGCAAAAAACAAACTCAAACCAATAAATTATATAACAATTTTTATTTGCTTTTATAACATATAATATAAAGTATATATTATTTTAATTGTGAGAGCCCCCTCCCCCACCTCCCCAAAAATGAATAATTCTAATTCAATTTTTCCTCAATCATGCAATGAGAAACAATTCAGTTCAACTTCATATTCACGTGACCTTGCATCGCTTAAATGTTAAGAACAGTCCAGGTGGACGTACGCTCTTAAGATGGTGATCAATACTTTTCTTTGTGCCTGTGTCCTCGCAACAACACGGCATGCACAACCAAACCCACGCATGGAACCACAACGAGTGTGCATGCAAACTATCATCATACAAAGATGACTGATCAGGATGCTGACGACGCATCACAAATCTATCACTGCCACCTTATATTCTCTAACGTTCTTCTGTGGGCTGCACTACTCCTCCTCCTCCTCCTCCTCTTGTATGTCCTCGGCTCTGCTTGCTGCTGTTTTACTCACATGATAATTTATTCCATGACATGCTGCTGTAAAAAAGGGGGGTGCTGCATATAGTCCAGTGTTGCTTGACTAAGTTGAATAAGAGTACGGGCTTATCTTTTCTCTCTCTTCCCTCTCTCTTTTTTTCTCTCCTTTTACAGTATTCACCCAACATGACGATGAGTGTGTGATTCCGTTTTTTTTTTTATTTTATCTTTTATTTTACTTTTTCATCTCCCTTTTATTCTTCCCCTTCACCCACGGTGCGTCTTGCATTGCCCTCCTCCCTTGCCCCCCTTTTTCCTCCCTCATCGGTGTGGATCGGCGTGCAGCCCCTTGGAATGCCCATGGACAGCAGGACCCCCCTCAAGGGTCCCCATCCCAACGTCTGTAAAATGGGTGTACGAACATGAGACTTTCTTCCTCACCTGCTGCGACCACTCCCCCATCCCTCCTCGTCATGAGCCTTGGAGCACCCCCCTCACCCCCTCCACCCCAAATATCTAGATATCAACCCCAGTCCATTCAACCAGTCATGAAGCTCAACAATGGCGGAAATAATAAGCACAGGCCCCCCAATATGTGCAACTTTATTTTATTTTTTTGTCTCTTGGCGAATCTCTTGTCAAATCTTGACGTGTTTTGCTGCATTTAAGACCTTCTCAGAAACGGGAAGTAAGCTTTCAGTTGAAAAGAAAAAAAATATATACCGGCCAGTATTTCCTTTATTTTTGTTGTTTTTAAAGATAGATATACTTGTACATTATGATGACATACATACATGATGTACCATGGATATAAAAAGCCTACTGGAACATCCGAATTTAATTTGGAGTTAATCTGGGGCACTTCAAATGGGGATAGGTGTGTACTGACTCCCATTTAACATGAGTTTAAATGCGATTGCTTGATTCTGAACACAACCACGTCCCAATTATAAGAGGGTGTGCACACTTTTGCAACCATATTACCTCAGTTGTTTAAGTTGAAAAGATAAACAAACTAAATAAATACATTGAAATGATTTATGTCACGTTAGTGGCCGAATGAGTTTGGAAATTACTTATCATAGATTGGTGTTTTTATCTTACAAAAAAAAAAAAAACCCTCAGATTTGGACAGAGATATGTAGACTTTTTATATGCACTGTACATCCAAGGCACATTGTGATTTCCGCCAAGTTTGTAAGTAGCAACTTTGACTTGTAGCAGCTTTTTTCTGGTCTGAGGTCATACGTTTCCAGTTTTCCCATTTCATGCAGTACATATACCTTCAGTCAAATCAAGGTTGAGTCTTTTCGAGGTGAGCCATTCATCCATGAGCAGATTTGATCTTATGTGTAAACATTTAACCCCAATTGTTGTTCTTTTGTTCTTTGATGCATACAGTTGTGCCTGTAAATCTTTGAAATGTGTTTTTTACACCCCCAAATCTGTTTGTTTGTTTTTTTGGTTAGTTTCAACTTGACCTATTTTCAATTCAGGACTTATCGTTGTTATTTGGACTGGAAGTCAATTGTGAAAGGAGTATTAGCGCCACACTGTCAAGAAATTATTCATTCAAAAATTTTCAGAATTTTAAGAGACAAACGTTAAAATGCTCTGACCAAAATAATAATCTTACTTGAATAAAGTTATAAAACGATGAGAATGAAGTCATAATATTCAAAACATAAACCTGTGTCAACAGAGGGAACTGTTGAGGATCGGGTCAGTTTACACTGGTGTGTGATTTTCAGTTTTCAACTTCTTGAAAAAAAATAACTGAAACTTTGTACTCACACTATCGCAACATTATTCCCATATTCGGGTTTTTTCCTCCTAGAAAAAAAAAACACGTTTGGTTTTTTGATATTTATACTTCCATTCTCATAATATTCTGTTTTTTTTCTGTGACAACTCTCCCCTTGGAATCGTCACAGTCTTTCCTCACAGCTCAACAAATTCTAA